GAGACTCCTCCAGAGAGAGCGCGGGGATGAGGGGCAGCGAGGGGGCCTCCCCCCTTCTCCTCCTCCTCCTCCTCCTCCTCCTCCTCCTCTCATCATCATCGGGGATCCATCATCCTCCTCCTCCTCCTCCTCCTCCTCCTCCTCCTCCTCCTCCTCCTCCTCCTCCGCCGCCGCCTCCTCCCTTGGTTTTCCTTCTGAGTAACTCCTCACTGTTGCAACCTGGAGCCAGTCCGAAGGACGGGCAGGGCGTTTCGCCTGAGACTTCCTTATCATTTGCGAGCTTGAAGCCAAAAACTTGAAACAGCTTCATAGATGGTGGGCGGGTGATTTTCAAAATGTGGTTTTCGCGTTAGCGCCGCGAACATTCGAATTTCACTTGTTGCAAGAATTTCACACATTGGAAGGGGCTCGTTTTCAATATGTGGCTCTCGCCTTAGCGCCGAGCGCACTCGTTTCAAACATGTGCGAGAGGTTCACGGATTGAGGGCGGGTGGTTTTCAAAATGTGGCTCTCGCCCCAGCGCCGCGCACACTTGTCCTAAAAAGTTGCAAGAGCTTGACAGATTGAAAGCTGCTCATTTTCAAAATGTGGATCTCGCCGTGGCGCCGCGCACATTCCCTTTGAAAATTTGAAAGAGCTTCACGGAGTGAGGGCGGTTCCTTTTTAAAATGTGGCTCTCTCCTTAGGGCCGCGCACATTCGTTTCAAATACCTGAAAAATTTCACTGACTCTCATGGTCAACGTACCAGAATTGCGTTCTGGAATGATTCAGGACTGTCAGGGTGCAACGGTTGTTGGTTTGCGGTATTGAAGTTGCAGGATCGGCATTCTGGCACGATTCGGGATTGTCGGGACGCAACAGTCTCATTGACTCGTGGCGTTGGAGTCCTGAGAATGGCGTTTTGGCTCGCGTCAGGACTTTCACACGGTTGTCCCCCAACGGGGCGCTTCGCTGTGGAAAGAAACTCCAGTAGCGGCCTATGGAAAGGGAGCCTGAAGGAAGGCTGTAATACAACATCGTTGATGAGTCTTGGGTTCACACTGGTCCTCCTCCTCGTCATCTTCCACCTCCTCCTCGCTTTTTATATGGCTGGAAAAAAACGTCGTTCGTAGCCCTCCCCCCCCAAGGGCCAGTCGGCCCTGGGTGTGTTGATCAAACCAGGACCAGGTGACCCCTGAAGCACCGCTCTGGGGATCACTGGCGATGTTGTAGAAGTGAAGTAAGAACCCTGAATCAAGGAGAGAGGAGAAGGTGGCGGCTGCGAGGATGCGATGGGTTGTCCTAGGTGGCGCGACAGCTGCAGCGATGGTAGAGGTGGCGGAGACATGACTAAACCGCTAAAGCTGCGCGATCATACCAAATGCGTCCTATGATATAACATCATTCCCCCCCCCAACATATCAAACCCCATCCCCTCAGTGGCCGCCTCCTCCTCCTCCTCCTCCTCCTCCTTCTCCTCCTCCTCCTCCTCCTCCGCCTCCTCCCTCCAAAAAAACTCTCCTGCGGGCAGAGCCCAAGCCACAGCGCCTCGTCGCCGAGGAGCTCGGCGGCCCCCGGGCGCTGCGCGGGCTCCTTCGACAGCAGGGCGGCGGCCGTGGCAGCCAGCGCGCCGCTCCCAGACCCCCTCGCGCCGAGGCAGAAATCCCGACGGGCGGTGTGGTCGCGTCGATCATCGTCGTCGTCGTCGGCGTCGATCGTCGTCGTCGTCGATCGTCGCCGTCGTCGTCGCCGGCGTCGTCGTCGTCATTGTCGTCGTCGCCGCCGTCGTCGTCGTCGTCCTGCAAGATCGGCGGCACCGGCCGTAAGGCGGTCACATTCACGACGGGGAAGGTGGCTGCGATTTTCGCCGAAGTCGCAACAGCCGTCGTCGTCTTCGACGTCATCGTCGTCGTCGTCCCCCTCCCTCAGAGTCGGCGCCACCGGCCGTAAGGCCTCCCCATTCACGACGGGACGTGTTGTTGCAAATTCCGCCGCCGAAAGTCGCAACCGTCGTCGTCGTCTTCCTCCTTCAGGGTCGGCGGCACCGGCCGCCAAGCGTTCACATTCACGACGGGCGGTGTTGATGCGACTTTCGCCGAAAATCGTTGCCGTGGTCGTCGTCGTCGCCGTCCCCCTTCAAGGTCGTCGTCTTCGTCCCCCTTCAGGGTCGACGGAACTGGCTCCAAGGCGTTCATATTCACGACAAGCGGTGATGTTGCGACTTTCGTCACCGTCGTCGTCGTCGTCGTCGTCGTCGTCCTCGTCGACATCGAACCCCTTCAGGGTCGGCACCACCGGCCGAAACGCGCTCACATTCACCACGGGCGGTGTTGCTGCAACTTTCGCCGAAAGTCGCAACCGTCATCATTAGTCGTCGTCGTCGTCGTCGTCGTCCCCCTTCAGTGTCGGCGCCACAGGCCGTAACGCGTCACATTCACGACGGGAAGTGTTGTTGCAACGTTCGCCGGAAGTCGCAACCATCGTCGGCGACGTCGTCGTCGTCGTCGTCGTCGTCGTCCCCCTTTAGGGTCGGCACCACCGGCCGTAAGGCGTTCACATTCACGATGGGCGGTGTTGTTGCGATTGTCGCCGTAAGTCGCAACAGCCGTCATCGTCGTCATCGTCGTCGTCCTCCTCCTCCAGGGTCGGCGCCACCGGCCGTAAGGCCTCCACTTTCACGACGGGAGGTGTTGTTGCGACTTCTGGCGAAGGTCGCAACCGTCGTCGTCGTCGTCGTCGTCGTCGTCGTCGTCGTCATCGTCGTCGTCATCGTCGTCGTCCCCGTTCAGAGTCGACGGAAATGGCCGCAAGGCGTTCACATTCACGGCGGGCGGTGTTGTTACGATTTTCGCCGAAAGTCGCAACCGTCCTCGTCGTCGTCGTCGTCTCTCTTCAGGGTCGGCGCCACCAGCCGCACGGCGTTCACATTCACGACAGGCGTGTTGTTGCGACGTTCGCCGCCGAATGTCGCAACCGTCACTCGTCGTCGCCGTCGTCCCCTTCAGGTTCGGCGCCACCGGCTGTAAAGCGTTCACATTCGCCGAGTCGCAACAGCCGTCGTCGTCGTCGTCGTCGTGGTCTTCGTCCCCCTCCAGGGTCAGCGCCACCAGCCGTAAGGCGTGCACTTTCACGACGGGCGGTGTTGATGCGACTGTCGCCGTCGTCGTCATCGTCGTCGCCCCCCCTCAGGTTTGACAGCACCTGCCGTAAGGCGTTCACATTCAAGACGGGCGGTGTTGTTGCGACATTCGCCACCGAGAGTCGCAACCGTCGTCCTCGACGTCGTCGTGATCGTCGTCGTCGTACGGCGTTCACACTCCCGACTGGCGGTGTTGTTGCGACTTTCGCCGAAAGTCGCAGCCGTCGTCGTCGTCGTCGTCGTCCTCCCCGTCGTCGTCGTCGTCCCCGTCGCCGTCGTTGTCGTTGTCGTCGGGTCGAAGCTCCTGGGCTCAAGGCGTTCACATTCACGACGAGCGGTGATGTTGCGGCTTTCGCCGAAAATCGCAAACGTCATCGTCGTCGTTATCGTCGTCGTCCCCCTTCAGGGTCGGCGCCGCCGACCGTAAGGAGTTCACATTCACGACGGGCGGTGTTGTTGCGACTTTCGCCGAAAGTCGCAAGCGTCGTCGTCATCGTCATCGTCGTCGTCGTCCACCTTCAGGGTCGGCGCCACCAGCCAGAAGGCCTCCACATTCACGACTGACGGGCATGGTTGTTGCAACTTTCGCCGAAAGTCGCAAGCGTCGTCGTGGTGGTCGTCGTCGTTTGTCGTCATCACCCTTCAGGGTCGACGGCCCCGGCCGTAAGGCGGTCACATTCAAGACCGGCGGTGTTGTTGCGACTTTCGCCCAAAGTCGCGACCGTCGTTCGTCGTCGTCGTCGTTGTTGTCGTCGTCGTCGTCGTCCCCCTTCAGGGTCGGCGCCACCAGCCGTAAGGCGTTCACAATCACGATGGGTGGTGTTGATGCGACTTTCGCCGAAAGTCGCAATCGTCGTCGTCGTCGTCGACGTCGTCGTCGTCGTCGTGATCGTCCCCCTTCAGGGTCGGCGCCACTGGCCGTAAGGCGTGCACATTCACGACGGGCGGTGTTGCTGCGACTTTCGCCGTCGTCGCCGTCGCCGTCCCCCCTCAGGTTTGACGGCACCCGCCGTAAGGCGTTCACATTCACGACGGTCAGTGCTGTTGCGACTTTCGCCGAAAGTCGCAACCGTCGTCCTCGTCGTCGTCGTCGTCGTCGCCCCCCCCCCGGGGTCGGCGCCACCGACCGTAAGGCGTTCACAATCACGACGGGCGGTGTTGTTGCGACTTTCGCCGAAAGTCGCAACCGTCGTCACGGTCGTCGTCGTCGTCGTCGTCGTCGTCGTCGCCACCGTCGTCGTCGTCGTCGTCGTCGTCGTCGTCGTCGTCGTCCCCCATTCAGGGTCGACGGCACTGGCCGCAAGGCGTTCACATTCACGACGGGCATGGTTGTTGCAACTTTCGCCGAAAGTCGCAAGCGTCGTCGTGGTCGTCGTCGTCGTTTGACGTCGTCACCCTTCAGGGTCGACGGCCCAGGCCGTAAGGCGGTCACATGCACGACCGGCGGTGCTGTTGCGACTTTCGCCGAAAGTCACAACCGTCGTTACAGTCGTCGTCGTCGTCGTCGTCGTCGTCGTCGTCGTCGTCCTCGTCGTCACGGTCGCCGTCGTCGTCGTCATCGTCGTCGCCGTCGTCGTCGCCGTCATCGTCGTCATCATCGACGTTTTCGTCGTCGTTTGTCGTCGTCGTCGTTTGACGTCGTCGTCGTCGTCGTTTGTCGTTGTCGTCGTAGCCGTCGCCGTTGTCGTCGTCGTCGTTTGACGTCGTCGTCGTCATCGTCGTCGACTGTCGTCGTCGTCGTCGCCGTCGTAGTCGTCGCCGTCGTCCCACTTCAGGGTCGACGGCACCGGCTGCAATGCGTCACATTCACGACGGGCTGTGTTGTTACGACTTTCGCCGTAAGTCGCGACAACACCCCCCGACGCGAGGGCACGAGGGCCCTCAGAGGCCGAAGCGGCCTCTGGGGGCCCTCGCCGGGCCCAGGGACCGCCAAAAGACGGCTCAGGACAAAGAGCCAGGCCCACGGAATGGATCCTGGGGAACGTGTCGAGACCTCCCCTGAGATCCGACGTTGCAAAAAATCTGCAACATCGCGACAAGTCACGAATGTGAAGGCCCCCGAGCCCGAAACTGGGCGGAAGCGCACCACCACCACCACTGCCTGGAGGAGTGAGGCAGAGGGTGGTCAGGGGTGGCGGTGGTGTATATGATTTCGGGCGCTGTTGCGGGACATCGTGCACACCCGCTTCCCGCACACCAGCTCATTCTGAATCCCCCCAGGTGGTGGTGGTGGTGGTGGTGGTGGTGGTGGTGGTGGTGGTGGTGGTGGTGGTGGTGGTGGTGGTGGTGGTGGTGGTGGTGGTGGTGGTGGTGGTGGTGGTGGTAGTGGTGGTGCACTTCCTGTTCCCCAAGTCTGGGGGACCGCGTCATGGAAAGCATGGCGTCGAGGGTCTGGGCTGCCCCCCACTCCGCACAGCTCCAGGGGCGCGAACGCGACCTGTCGGGTGTTGCCAGAAGTACCCCTGGCCAAAGGTACCCCCAGGATTTCCCGGGAGGCCACCAGGGCCTCCAGAGCACACCTCAAGAGCCTCCAAATGGGAGCGAAAAGCTTGGGGCACCTTGGGCCAGCTTTACTATCTGCGCGCGTCGCGCTCCACGGACGGGAAGCGCGACTATCTTCGTGCTTTCGCGCCGCCCCACCCCCACCCCGAACAGGATGAGGGACACGCGCCTCTGAAATCGCTCAGACCGCGAAGCGCAACTAACTTCGCGCCCTCTCGGTGGCCCCAGCTTTAGCAACCCCCGAACCTGCCGCACCAGCTCGACCGCCGAGGGGGCCTCGAAGGGCAGCCGGAGCGCCAGGAGCTCGTGGAGGATGACGCCCGCGGCCCACAGGTCGGCTGCCGGTGAGCAGCGCTGGTTCCACAGCAGCTCGGGTGCGGAGTAGGCTGGTCAGATACCCGTTCTGGGGCCCTTCCTGGAGCCACTCGCTCCACTCGTAGGCGGCGAGCGAGGCGGGGAAGTGAGAGGGAGAAGGCCTTCTCAAAGGCAGCGGGACTTCTCAGAAGCCGCCGCGCCTTCTGAGAAGTTTTCTGTGTCTTCGGGGCAGGCTTACAAAACTTCTCGGAAGGCCAGGGGACTTCCGAGCCTTCTGAGAAGGCCCACCCCTTCTGGGCTTGCCGCCGATTCCTGAAGGCACTCGCTCCACACATGCTCAATGTCGGTGCTGCGTCGAACATCCGTCGGCTTGAGTCGAACATGAGTCGAGTATGGGTCGAACTCAAGACGAGCTTGAGTCGAACAGATCCGTCAGGTGGGCCTCAGGAGGATCCCCCAAACGAGCATCTAAGGCTGGGTCGCCACAGAAGGCAGCAGCCGTCGCGGTGCTGTCCAGCGCCATGAGGACGTCGAAGTCCGAAAGCAAGCAAATGCGCCAACGTCCCTTCAGGAAAACATTGGCCGGCTTCAGGTTCCGATGGACGATGCCGTGGCTGTGCACATATTTCGGCGGCGCGTTCGGGAGGGAAGTGAGGGGGCAGGCCTTCTGAGAAGCTCCGTCTTCGGAGAGGGCTTAGAAAACTTCTCAGAGGACCGGAGGCCTTCCGAGCCTTCTGAGAAGGCCCGCCCCCTCTCTGCATTCCACCCCCGGGCTCGCCACCGAATGTTCGAGCCCCTGCAGTATCTGCTGCAGCCAGCCAGCGACAACGGGACCCTCCAGCGCCTCGTCCCTGGCCCGCCCAACCGCCAGGGGGGCCCGCAGGTCCCCGTCCTCGGCGTACTCCGTGACGGTGGTCAGGCGGCCCGAGTTCGGGCCCACGCCGTTCCACCTCCGGTGGCAGTTCGGGGGAGCCTCCGATACCATCTTGCTGGCTCTTGCGAATCGATACTGCTCGACACTAGGTCGACGCTAATCGAAGCTAAATCGACGCTAGTCGACGCTGAATCGGCGCTTTCTCATCGATCACCAGACACTAATCGACGCGGACGCACTCTAAAGACGGAATTGCGAGGGTGTACAAGGCTCCCATCTGATTTGCTGCCGAAGTTCCACCAGCTCTGGAGGTACACGGCGACGTTCGGGTGGCGGAGCTTCTTCAGGGCCTGCACCTCAGGGGGAGCAAGAAATGCAAGCATACTCAAAATTCCATGATAGAGGAGGGGTACCACAACCCCCCACCCCCCAGACCAGCCATGACAGGGCGGCCTTTCGCCCAGACCCCACCGAATCCTCAAGGACAGCTCAAATCCGACCCCCAAAAAAACCAGACCACGCTCTGTTGTTGCTAAATATGGATGTCCGAAAATTCATGCTTGCGCCGTTGCTTTGGACTGGACGCCCGAAATCGATACGGAAAAAATGGGCACGATGCCCAACAACAGACGTTGCCCAAAACCGACAACGGCCGCTGTTGGGCAGGTGGCCTTCGGTCTCAAATGGACA